CCCTCTAAAAGGGCAGGAAACATCAATGAAGGCACCACAAGCGCAAGCACTGGTAGGATAGATACAAAGATTGGTGTGAAATGGCCTAATTAGAAGTTCATTTACGATAACAGCTTCACGGAAGTAGATGGCTGGGTGGAAAAAGACAAGTGGAAACAGGTGGGATTCGAATTGACAATAGTAACAACGTTAATGGAGCATCCGCTAGTAAGTTGGCAGTTTGAGAGTTGGAAGGACGCTGAACATTAAATCCGCAATAATTGGGTGGAGTAAACCAGTGAGACGCAAATACACATCCAGAGAGTAAAGAGGCAACCAGATACACCAGAAGTAAGATACACGATATTTCAATGGAAAAAACGGTGATAAACTATCAGTAAAGGACAGCCAATAATACACCGGACACTTGAGGACCGGGCAGATGGGTGGATAAGAGGCAGTAAAGGAGGCGTGGGTAAGCCGAGACATTGAGAGGATAAACAGGTAGACAGTGACTTACTGAAAGCAGGCGAGCGCCTTCTCCTGATCCTGTTTGGCCTCACTGGTAAACTCGCCGAGTTGATCTGTGCCTGAAAATTGGAGAAACTGGCGACCTTTTGCGTGGTACGCATTGCCCAGGTTATGGAGAGCCCGCGCTATTGCCGCCTGATAAAAGCGAAAGTAAGGTAGTGAGTACCGGATTAGTCAAGGCTTCAAACATTAAAGGAAAATACATTAGAGTCGAAAACTACCTCCGACACTTGATTTTGAAAGCACAAAATAATGTTAAAATGTGACTGCTAACGCGCGATGGAGCATAAACATCGGCGCAATCACAGTTCCAAAAAGTTATCTATTAAGAGGTTTACTTGGAAAGGCAAGAGAGCAACGGCCAACGCAATGATGTTTTGAGAATGTGCTTTAAAAGGAGCGATTTTAAGCTTAACTTAAATTAAGCTGGCGACATGAAAGACCAGAGCCGACACCGAGATAAGAGGGTAGGCTGAGTTGAAAGGAGTTAGTATAAACGCCACGACCTAGGAAACGACACTTTTATGTTATTTTGTTATCAGGAGTTGTTTTAATTCCTGGGTTTTGATGCGGTAGAACCAACTTAACATCAAAGACAGTTAGAAACATCGCCGAAGTAGGCAAACTGGAGTGACGGCTGATGACATGCAATTCTAGTGGACGTTAAATTCTACCTGTAAATGGGGGAACACAGTTGAAACCGCCTGTGTTGAAGGTGGATGCGCCTCAAAATTTAGCCAAATTTGACTCGAATAAGTAGCAGCAAGGACAAATAACGCGTTTGACTAGCGAGGAAGGGGCTGCTGAACCGAGTTCACAGTAAATTGGCCAATGATTTGAAATTTCCCATTGAAACAATCCTAGCCAGTCGTGTGGGTGGGTGAGCCATATTAATACATGACGGCTCCGAAAACGAAAGCGGATCGCGGAATTTGCATTGGTAGACAGTTTTCCCACCAGAGTATAAAACTGACTGATCAAATGATCGAAGTTTGACCTTCAAACAGCTCCATACAAATTGACTGCCACATTGAAACATTTGAAACAGGGTTCCAAGACCTCTACCTACCCCCACTTAACCGCTCTCGCAGTGGCAGGTCTCAACTGATCTATAAAGCTGTGACGTTAGATTCTCGCAGAACGTTTTCAAGATGACAAATTAGGGAGTTAATGCCATGCCAAGTGAATAATCTAGGGGGCTGCATGGATCAGAATTACCAGACCCACTAAGAGCCACTCAATTAAGGTAGAGTCCAATGTCTTTTCTCCTCCGTCACCCGCATGAGGCCTTTCCCTCGATCGCATATTCCTTTACCTAGCCATTCGAAAAAATGATTTTACACACCCCTCGTTTTACAAAGGGCTTCGGATGCAAATATTTCAATTCTGAGAAAAAACGGAAATAATCATTGTAAACGTGGAGGAAAGCAGCTCCGGTGTTACCTTTTTACGAAATTGTGGCGCTCGCAAGATAGCACCACTGCGGCCAATTTTCTCCGCGCTTGATACCTGACCGACACCTCTGATGCAACCACCTTTCACTTAGCACAAATAATCACGCTAACGTACGTTCCCTACCAGCCCTCCTGGCCAATGAGGTCACCAGGCCTAAACAAGAGGCAACGGAACCAACTAGCAGCACTTGCAACAAAGTTTGGGAGACGGTCACATCCTCATAACTGAGCAATACAACAGCGGGCAGTTCTGTGTGAGTTGTGAACGCGTTTCAAGATCAGGTAGGGCAAGGTGGGTAGGTACTGCTATATAAGCTAGCCTAATTTTAATACAGAAATAACCCCATAGGCCATTTCTTCAATAGCCATTACCTGCTCTTTTGTCTATTACACGCTCGGCAGAAAAAACCAGAGGTTTTGGTCCACTACCATCCCCACCTCCACCTGCAAATATTTTTGTCAGTTAAATTTGTACTTTTGCACAGATGTTATTGCCGTTTATTGTGCTACCTGTTCCAATGAGAGACGAGGTGACCCTGCCCTCATCTAGTTCATGTGTGCACTTTAATGCTGCTCTTGCTGGGGTGGCTTACTTCCAGCTAGAAATAACGGCAGGACACCAATACCTCGTAAATGAGGACTATCGTGAGGGTGTACTTAAACCGTTTTCCCATTTCTATCGCTTCCTCCTTCCAGCCTGTCAAGCTATGCCAATAATGAGGCTTGAAAGTCACTAGAATACCCAAATTTACTGTCTGAATGGAGGAGCAAGTCAAAATCCCTTGTACGAAGTACGCCGATCAGAGTAAGCATCCGACCCCCAAGCTATAGGCAAGATTGATGAAAGGAACAATAAATTGGTGAGAGTGAATAAAAAGCTCTCATCCCGTCTAGTCGTCCTCCCAGTGAGTCTGCATTTCCCCTCCCCCCCGGGCATCCATCACCTATTCACTGGTTATCGTGACGCCTAAATACCGACGTCATCTTCTAAATCACACTAAGCTCTTTTATTAATCACGTCTTGCAGCCAATCGCGCCGCATCAGCATGTCAAAATAGGTCACTACTGACAACTTTTTAACTTTTTTTTAACAGAAGAAGGCGATCCATCCATAACCTTTCCTCGAAGCAACGAGATCCACTCTTAGATTCATGCCACCAAAAAAAAGTGGGAAATTCCCTTCTACTTGTCAGAAATGCCATCATCATTATGGAAGCGCCTACCTTGTCATTGAATCTGCGACAAATCTCCAGTTGACGTTTGGCACAGAGGACCGCCTCCGGGTACTTCTCAATCATCTTGAAACAGGTGCTCAGGTTGGCACACGCCTTCGCCTCCCCGTGCAGATCACCCGTTTGTCTGTAGCGAGAAGGAATAGAGACAAAAAAGTGAGGATAATTTTGGATCATTTCCATTCTGATAGTCGATCGTGGAATAGCCCCAAATCAAATACCCGCTTCACGATTACCACCGAGCGCATTCAACGCTGATGCGAAATTAGAAAGGCCATTTCTGTGATAAATTAACATCGTAAGCACCCATTTTATTCCGGCACAGGAATATCGTAAACCCCACAAAAGATGCTAGATACAATAGAATGCAAAATTCCACTCAACACAGCACCTGATAACCCATGGAACTCATTTCCTGAAAGGCTATAAAACATCCTTTTTGTGGCACCAAATCAGGACTACAGAGTGCACAATTTTGAAGAGCCATTTTAAACGCATGCAAAAAATCAACGAACAAAAAACATGTTCCATACGCATTTCTTTATCTGAAACGCTACCTTCTTTCACCTAGCTTGAAGGCTCATTCTCATGAGCGGAACGAAGTCCGTGAGAATCTCGGTGCTGCTAGCAACAACGGCTAGCCGCAATAAATGACCTAACCAACTCGAGTCTAGTGACGAATCACCAAGTGATGGGGTCCTACCCCTCTAAAAGGGCAGGAAACATCAATGAAGGCACCACAAGCGCAAGCACTGGTAGGATAGATACAAAGATTGGTGTGAAATGGCCTAATTAGAAGTTCATTTACGATAACAGCTTCACGGAAGTAGATGGCTGGGTGGAAAAAGACAAGTGGAAACAGGTGGGATTCGAATTGACAATAGTAACAACGTTAATGGAGCATCCGCTAGTAAGTTGGCAGTTTGAGAGTTGGAAGGACGCTGAACATTAAATCCGCAATAATTGGGTGGAGTAAACCAGTGAGACGCAAATACACATCCAGAGAGTAAAGAGGCAACCAGATACACCAGAAGTAAGATACACGATATTTCAATGGAAAAAACGGTGATAAACTATCAGTAAAGGACAGCCAATAATACACCGGACACTTGAGGACCGGGCAGATGGGTGGATAAGAGGCAGTAAAGGAGGCGTGGGTAAGCCGAGACATTGAGAGGATAAACAGGTAGACAGTGACTTACTGAAAGCAGGCGAGCGCCTTCTCCTGATCCTGTTTGGCCTCACTGGTAAACTCGCCGAGTTGATCTGTGCCTGAAAATTGGAGAAACTGGCGACCTTTTGCGTGGTACGCATTGCCCAGGTTATGGAGAGCCCGCGCTATTGCCGCCTGATAAAAGCGAAAGTAAGGTAGTGAGTACCGGATTAGTCAAGGCTTCAAACATTAAAGGAAAATACATTAGAGTCGAAAACTACCTCCGACACTTGATTTTGAAAGCACAAAATAATGTTAAAATGTGACTGCTAACGCGCGATGGAGCATAAACATCGGCGCAATCACAGTTCCAAAAAGTTATCTATTAAGAGGTTTACTTGGAAAGGCAAGAGAGCAACGGCCAACGCAATGATGTTTTGAGAATGTGCTTTAAAAGGAGCGATTTTAAGCTTAACTTAAATTAAGCTGGCGACATGAAAGACCAGAGCCGACACCGAGATAAGAGGGTAGGCTGAGTTGAAAGGAGTTAGTATAAACGCCACGACCTAGGAAACGACACTTTTATGTTATTTTGTTATCAGGAGTTGTTTTAATTCCTGGGTTTTGATGCGGTAGAACCAACTTAACATCAAAGACAGTTAGAAACATCGCCGAAGTAGGCAAACTGGAGTGACGGCTGATGACATGCAATTCTAGTGGACGTTAAATTCTACCTGTAAATGGGGGAACACAGTTGAAACCGCCTGTGTTGAAGGTGGATGCGCCTCAAAATTTAGCCAAATTTGACTCGAATAAGTAGCAGCAAGGACAAATAACGCGTTTGACTAGCGAGGAAGGGGCTGCTGAACCGAGTTCACAGTAAATTGGCCAATGATTTGAAATTTCCCATTGAAACAATCCTAGCCAGTCGTGTGGGTGGGTGAGCCATATTAATACATGACGGCTCCGAAAACGAAAGCGGATCGCGGAATTTGCATTGGTAGACAGTTTTCCCACCAGAGTATAAAACTGACTGATCAAATGATCGAAGTTTGACCTTCAAACAGCTCCATACAAATTGACTGCCACATTGAAACATTTGAAACAGGGTTCCAAGACCTCTACCTACCCCCACTTAACCGCTCTCGCAGTGGCAGGTCTCAACTGATCTATAAAGCTGTGACGTTAGATTCTCGCAGAACGTTTTCAAGATGACAAATTAGGGAGTTAATGCCATGCCAAGTGAATAATCTAGGGGGCTGCATGGATCAGAATTACCAGACCCACTAAGAGCCACTCAATTAAGGTAGAGTCCAATGTCTTTTCTCCTCCGTCACCCGCATGAGGCCTTTCCCTCGATCGCATATTCCTTTACCTAGCCATTCGAAAAAATGATTTTACACACCCCTCGTTTTACAAAGGGCTTCGGATGCAAATATTTCAATTCTGAGAAAAAACGGAAATAATCATTGTAAACGTGGAGGAAAGCAGCTCCGGTGTTACCTTTTTACGAAATTGTGGCGCTCGCAAGATAGCACCACTGCGGCCAATTTTCTCCGCGCTTGATACCTGACCGACACCTCTGATGCAACCACCTTTCACTTAGCACAAATAATCACGCTAACGTACGTTCCCTACCAGCCCTCCTGGCCAATGAGGTCACCAGGCCTAAACAAGAGGCAACGGAACCAACTAGCAGCACTTGCAACAAAGTTTGGGAGACGGTCACATCCTCATAACTGAGCAATACAACAGCGGGCAGTTCTGTGTGAGTTGTGAACGCGTTTCAAGATCAGGTAGGGCAAGGTGGGTAGGTACTGCTATATAAGCTAGCCTAATTTTAATACAGAAATAACCCCATAGGCCATTTCTTCAATAGCCATTACCTGCTCTTTTGTCTATTACACGCTCGGCAGAAAAAACCAGAGGTTTTGGTCCACTACCATCCCCACCTCCACCTGCAAATATTTTTGTCAGTTAAATTTGTACTTTTGCACAGATGTTATTGCCGTTTATTGTGCTACCTGTTCCAATGAGAGACGAGGTGACCCTGCCCTCATCTAGTTCATGTGTGCACTTTAATGCTGCTCTTGCTGGGGTGGCTTACTTCCAGCTAGAAATAACGGCAGGACACCAATACCTCGTAAATGAGGACTATCGTGAGGGTGTACTTAAACCGTTTTCCCATTTCTATCGCTTCCTCCTTCCAGCCTGTCAAGCTATGCCAATAATGAGGCTTGAAAGTCACTAGAATACCCAAATTTACTGTCTGAATGGAGGAGCAAGTCAAAATCCCTTGTACGAAGTACGCCGATCAGAGTAAGCATCCGACCCCCAAGCTATAGGCAAGATTGATGAAAGGAACAATAAATTGGTGAGAGTGAATAAAAAGCTCTCATCCCGTCTAGTCGTCCTCCCAGTGAGTCTGCATTTCCCCTCCCCCCCGGGCATCCATCACCTATTCACTGGTTATCGTGACGCCTAAATACCGACGTCATCTTCTAAATCACACTAAGCTCTTTTATTAATCACGTCTTGCAGCCAATCGCGCCGCATCAGCATGTCAAAATAGGTCACTACTGACAACTTTTTAACTTTTTTTTAACAGAAGAAGGCGATCCATCCATAACCTTTCCTCGAAGCAACGAGATCCACTCTTAGATTCATGCCACCAAAAAAAAGTGGGAAATTCCCTTCTACTTGTCAGAAATGCCATCATCATTATGGAAGCGCCTACCTTGTCATTGAATCTGCGACAAATCTCCAGTTGACGTTTGGCACAGAGGACCGCCTCCGGGTACTTCTCAATCATCTTGAAACAGGTGCTCAGGTTGGCACACGCCTTCGCCTCCCCGTGCAGATCACCCGTTTGTCTGTAGCGAGAAGGAATAGAGACAAAAAAGTGAGGATAATTTTGGATCATTTCCATTCTGATAGTCGATCGTGGAATAGCCCCAAATCAAATACCCGCTTCACGATTACCACCGAGCGCATTCAACGCTGATGCGAAATTAGAAAGGCCATTTCTGTGATAAATTAACATCGTAAGCACCCATTTTATTCCGGCACAGGAATATCGTAAACCCCACAAAAGATGCTAGATACAATAGAATGCAAAATTCCACTCAACACAGCACCTGATAACCCATGGAACTCATTTCCTGAAAGGCTATAAAACATCCTTTTTGTGGCACCAAATCAGGACTACAGAGTGCACAATTTTGAAGAGCCATTTTAAACGCATGCAAAAAATCAACGAACAAAAAACATGTTCCATACGCATTTCTTTATCTGAAACGCTACCTTCTTTCACCTAGCTTGAAGGCTCATTCTCATGAGCGGAACGAAGTCCGTGAGAATCTCGGTGCTGCTAGCAACAACGGCTAGCCGCAATAAATGACCTAACCAACTCGAGTCTAGTGACGAATCACCAAGTGATGGGGTCCTACTTTGAAAACCGCCATGCCTACACGTGGCAGTGAAGAGCTGCTTGCGCATATGCAAGCGCGATAGAATAAGGATGAGGACGTTCATTATAAATTGCTTAGAGGAGGAAAAACAGGCACAAATTTTTGGAAATGGAAGGCTGGCTATGGCCAACTAATTAATAATGTCCGCTTGTCTTCATTAGACCTTTTACCTCCTCCTGTGAGTTGATCGGTTTCTGTAGACAAAAAGGCTCTGCCTTCATGCTGCTTTCTTCTGGCGCGGACGATGGAATCGCACTTTTTTTACCCTGCGGTCAATGACTGAGAGGAGCCTTAGGGGCTGAATGTTACGGAAGCTCGTTCCTGCAGCTGATGAATCGTGCATTGCTTTGAAAATGCGTTTTTAGCAAAATGTACTTCCTGATGTGTTTAGTGTTGTGTGCAACAGTGCCTAACAATGCCACATGTCAAATGTGACTCCTAACCAGTTCGGTGCCGCAATTTGTCGCTGGGAGAACTGCATCGGCGACTAATATTAACTGCTGGCCAGTTTAGTTCAACTGACCCTCCAAACAGACTGTAATTATCCCCAAGTGGAGACAATACTGCACCTAGTTTGGAACCTTGGTTGTAACTAATCTACATACGGCGAGCACTCCGGCACAGTCCTAGTTGTGGTAAGGTGGTGGAGAATGCGTGTCACATAAGTGTGCCGCAGAGACGCGAGTGTAAAAAATTGGGACGTAGCATGTCTTGCCCACGCGGTGTTAACCGGACAATTGGCCAATATCTGACAGTCAGGCAGTCAGACCGGGCAATGGAAGTGAGGTGGTAATGGAGACGACCTGCAAGGTGGAATTGGCTACTAGCTTGTATTACATTGGTAAAAAATTGTGGAGTGCAGTGGCAATTAGTTGAACGAATAAAAGTTCCTTCACCTGGGTGGAACCCCTCGACCCTTGCAGTGTCGATCTCATTGCAATAAGCTGCTTCGGTGCATAGTTGATTAAAAGAGACAAATGGAATTCTGAAATGGAATGACGCACGTTGAATGCCAGTTGATGCAAACAGCGACTGCAGACATTGAGTTCACAATTAATTCTAGTGTTGAGTCTGCGGAACACGGAACCTACTTCATCGCAAAACTGGCTTGGGAGAAAGTACATGTGATTGCTCCCTTGTGAAGTAGCGGCAACTGGAAAGGGCACATTGTGCGTGATAATGTTGGAGAATGAATACTAGCCATAGAAAATGACATCAAATTGTGCGCTTTTTGGGCTTCGAGAAGTAAAATACAACTGATGCAAACACGGCTGACTTTCTCACTGCCCACAGCTTTAGAGCCTTCCGTATTCCTCATTTTCCTGCCCTGACCACCCATCCACTCGCCGCACATTAGCTGCCACAACACCTATAGTGCCTGTGTCAAGTTCTTTTCCTCTTTTCCGTCTCCGCTCTCTTGTTCGTCGCCTTAATTCAATTGGCGTTTAAAAGAGCTACTGAATTCACCCAGGGCCTATCGCAAGCAAAGTATATTTGGGAGACTGGTCTGGGGGGTATTTTAACTGTCACCTGAGACTAGAACAAAGCATTTTCCCCTTGTGACTGGCCAGTAGTGAGTGAATTGTTGTGCGCCCAGTGAATTGAGGTGAGATAAGTGCCTGTTTGGGTCGTTTTGAAGTGTACCCTTGGAAAAGGTGGACATTCTGTCCCCATTCGTGATCAGCTAGTGTATGCACTTTCTAGGCGGAGCAGTACCATTTCACTAACTGTAATGCGATCAAAACGTGGAAGAGGGTCGTCATGTATCATCGAGGATTGCCACGGTTCGGACAGGTGTGCCACTCTGACTGAACCATCCTATACCGATCATAGGCATTGTGAACATATGTTGACCTTTGCATTACCAAGAAACATTCCTAGACTGGTAAATCAACTGCTCATCGCAACACCCAATGGAATTTACAGTTGCACAGTTGGCCTTTTTGTCAAGGTGGTTGTGAATGTGTGCCCACTTCTACCAGTGCATCTGTTTGCATTCCTGTTCGTGCAAGCAGGATCAAAAGAAGCGCTGTTGGGCGGAGGGAGATAATAGGGTCGTTCATTTCCTCTCAGAAAAATTGCAATCTTGCCACACCACACCATGCAACGCATGCAATGTCAATTTGCAGTGGCGAGGGAAGGGCGACATTAATTACATGGCGGCGTTCCAACACGCATTCTTCTTCGCTTCTTCCTTCTCCTCATCCCGCTCTCCGTCCTTCGACAGCCCGTTTGCATGACTAACTGGCTTATCCCGGTTGATACACCTCCTGCCTTCCCCCTTTTCTTTCTGGCCTGCTTGTCTGCTTGCGTCCTCCCTTCAATTATTACTGTTCTGGCCTGCCTCGTCCTACCCCATCCCCCCTTCACCTCACCTTATCACAGTCCAATCTCTGGCTGCATCACCCAATCCGTGCATACACCACGGCTTGGAGGCCTCATTTTCATCCTTTGACGTGTGTGGACTCACCTTAACCAGACTAGCTAGCACGAGGGAACAGACGACCCATGCTTTGTTTCCAAGCCTTGTCTAAGTTGGTCTGCGATTATCGCATGAAAGGAAAGAGTGCGCAGGCCATCTCAACCCACTGATTCTGCTGCTATTTATACTCTTGCTACTGCTGCTGCCGCTGCCGCTTCTGTAGCAGAAGAGCAGGCCACTCTGGCCCTACCTACGGCACTTGTTGGATCTCGAGCCTGGGGGTTGAAAAGTGGATAAGCAGCATTGCAGCCCTGCATAATTTGTGTGTACTTACTGGCATAGAAGTGAGGAGTTGTTGACGCGACATCCTCTTATCCTAGATTACGATCAAAGCAGCTTTTCCACCTTAAGACTCGCATAACTCAAACCAGAATTGCAGGCTTGCTGATGCCCATCGGCTTGGATGCTCTTTCAAAATCGACGAATTGCTTCCATTCAAAGATCGAAACTGGTGTACTACTAACTTTGGCAAATTGCGATGCATTTGCCTTGTGCACTTTGTTTGGAGAACACTAACAGGTCAATCTGGAAAACTAACAACAAATGCACTGCTAAGTGAGGTTATTTTCGGCGCACATGAAAGTGGCTTGCGGAACGTGTAATAAAATTGCCATCTAAGAGATAATCACTCACAGTAAAAACTGCGATGACTGCGACTCTAGGAGAAGGGGAAAGCTGGAAGAATCACTACAGCGCACTGTTCTCAATCAGGCACACCCATGAACCACATTACATGTGAATGACTTTACCAGTTTTCTTCATACCGCAACTGATGTCTTGTTCGTTGCGTCTTTAACCATGGTTCCAATGCTCTTCGGCTGGGGCCAATTCTGAAAGGCATTCCATGAGATGTGCACAAGTGGATTGGTGGGTAAATACGGGGATAAGTAGCAGGATTAGCGCAGATTGGCCAAGTAGTCAAGTGGATTATCCGAAGGAATCTTTTTAAACGGGGCCTTTCGCACCGCAATGCCAATCCTTTTGTCTCTGCGAGAGATTACGAAGTTGGGCAGTTCACGAAGATGGCTCCGTCAATAAAAGCATTGTAGATGTCAGTGACGCACTGGAGATCGGAAGCCCAAACTTCTTGGCTATTACCGCAATAAAGCTGGAGTGCATGCGCACAAGCTGCAAGAGGAATCGCTGTTTTGGATGCTTTGTTTATGTTTTGACATGCAGTAAGAAGTTCACATTCCCTTCCCCTTCGCACTAATTTGGCACCGATGCTTGTGCTGAAAACCCTGTTAAATGAATGCATGCACCGTGATTCTTGTCTCTCTCCCGTTCCTTTCCCTTCCTGTTACAGTAAGGCGTCCATTTGTTATCGCTTCGTCTCCTGCAGTGGTAAAGGGAGTCTTTATTGCGTTTTCCCTGAAGTGATGGCACTAAAACCGTTGTCCTAACCAATCAAGCTGGATGGATTGCAGAATTCACTACTTCTATTTTTAGAAACGTGGCGCTAATATATCTGGCATAAGTGAGCTCCTGAGTCGCGGCACGACAATCATCTCCGCAAGGCTGTAATAGGAGTGAATTGATGATATGTGAATATACAGCCTCTGTGCCAGGACTGTCTCTCTCCCCCTGTGTGTATGTATGTGTGTGTGTATGCCCATGTGCATGCGGGTGGCATCCATTGGCCCAACGATGTTGCCCTGTTTGGGCCAAAGTAAAAGGTCAAGATTACCTACTGTACGTAGGTGCTGGAAACACAGGAAGAAAATGTCAAGTGCATTGTCTAACAGCAGGTGGATTGGTTGCAGTAGTGGAGGTTGCATTGCTGCTGAGGTCGTGTGGTCATGAAATGTTGTGCCAAAGTGTGTACGCAACTGGTGGATGTTGTAAGGGGCATCGACACTGTCGTCTCAGTTGGCCCGCACGAACTGGCACTGCGTAGTGAGGACACTCCGTTCTACCAATCAGTGATGTGGGTGAATGTGACGCCTTGAAAATGAGAATGATGTCATCCTCCTCTGGTTGGTACCACAATGCAGCAAATTTCCGGAGAGCCTGTAGTCCATAGAACCATTTTGATGGAGATTACGAGACATCGTCTACCAACAATGGGTGGCCACCCAAGGCTGGGGACACTTGTCACAGACGAAGGCACAAATGCAAGGACCTGACAAGAGACTGGTGGACGGATACTGTGTTGTGTCTCGACATTCAACAAAAGTCAACGCTTGAGACGCTACTGCGACATCGTCTCGTTGCGTACAACTCGTCAACTGGTTTGTTGGTGAAGCGCCAAACATGATGGATTGGCGCATAGTGCTCGGTGCTAAGCAATGTCGACGTGGCACAAAGGATTGCAGAGAAGGTTTGTCAACCCGGATACACCTTGGACTGGTCTTTGCTGATGGTAATGTTGAGTGCATCAGGTCGCGAAGCCAAGAGTTCTTCTAGTATGCACTGCAGAATAGTTTAATCCCTACTCACACCTACCTAACTTCGACCCTGTTTCGTGCTGCCTTGATGGACGGACGAAAAGACTGAGGTGGAGGTCTCACGTGCAGAACTAACTTGAGGCTGTCAAAAAGACAGCCACGACATCGGAACAATGGATTTTATGCTCGCAACTGCATTTTGCAAAACACATCCCCGACGTTTTGGAACTTTAGTGAGTAGCCCTCTTCAATTGCTAATTGCGGTTCCCATTTGCAGCTCGAACCGCATGATTTACCCCTTTGGCAATGATATGACTCCTCACGGTTCAGTGCGACAGGCTGATCAGGTCTCATGGGGGGAGCCTGGTGTACTGCCACTATGACACCATCCACCCTACTGGATGTGCGTTTGCAACTGTCCAAAATTCACTCGCCTAAGAATCCCCAGCGATTGGATATAAGAATAGGCAGCAGTGTTCGTGGTGCGGTGAGAAAGAAGGGTGAACCGCGAGGCAGTTTGAACTATGGTGCTTATTAAATGTATTGGGCACAACATCCGTGGCTTATTTGTCATCTCGGCCACTCAATTGTCTGTCTGTTGCAGCTGCAACTGCACCCGTTTTCTACTCTTTGGTCACCTCACCTCAGATCTGCTGCGTTGTTAAGTGTGTGTGGACGCATGTGCTGCTAGTTTTGAAGATTAAAATCACCTCATTGACTGCCTGCCCGACAGTGAGGAACTTGCCATCCCAACGTGCCACCACCACCACCACCACGCGTAACTCGCCAGTCCAACACACTGTCTGTGTGGGTATACGTCAGCCCAAACCTCGTCAAGCATCGCCGCTTTTGCAACTACAAGGAACTACGATTGTGCGTGGATTCATGACCACGCTAGGTAGATGCAAGTTCACAAGGTGATAATCACAGCATTATGTTTGCGTTAGAAACGGCTATGACGGTGAAAATAATGACAACACTCAATGCAATGCACTCTCCCCAATTGGCCACCACTGGGGCGAGCCAAATATCTTGAGGGTGAATTAGCAGAGGGCAGGTTAACATTGGGCTGCCTTTGGCACATCTCCTTCCGCCCTCCTAATTACGCTTTTGTGTTCGCGCTGTAGTGTGGTATTCGCGTGCACCTGTGGGGATTTGCAGTAACCAATGTTTGGTGGACAGGGGTCTGAGAATTGTTTGGAGATTTCTTCTTTTCCTTCTCCTGTCTCTGCTAACTGAAGACCTCAATCCCTTGCCTCCGTCGACTAAGCTTCTTTACCTTACCGAATTGCTGAATATCGTAGGAGGTAGGGGTGTTGGTTAAAAATTCCACTGCTATTTATGGCAGCCACCTTGTCACCTCTCACAGCAGCTTTGGCCTCGACTCAAATTCCACCATG